TAACAGGCAACCGTTAACAAACGTTATTTGGTTTCCGTGCCTTTCTGAATACGGATTCACGCTTCGGACACACCACCTAGACCACGCCCCCCCCGGACGATGTTATCGTCCATCGCGATGTTTCACTGTAGACATCGTCGGATGCCAATTTTGTAGACATCGCCCAACCCTACTGACTTTATTACTCACTATTGCGAGTTTGTATCACGCAATTCTGAGAAAAAATTCTGAATTGTAAGATTTAAAATCGCAGTTGCAAGAAAAAATGTCAGAATTGTGAAAAAGTCGCAAACAACTTTTTTTTTTAATTGTCCGTAAATGCTGACAATTTTAATTTTTGGGTGAACTATCCCTTTAACATAACTAATAGACATTAAGTGATGCGTATTTGTGAGTCAAACATTCATTTCTGTAGCAGTCCTGAATGTTTAAAATACAAAAATACATTTACCAGGTGAATATATTTATCTTCAAAAAATGTATTAGTTTGAGTGTCATACATTTGAACTAAATGAATATTGCGTGTTCCACAGTTAGCCATATTTTATCCATGTTCATACTTTTTAACTGAATAAATTAATTTTTTTAGATAAAATATATTTATGCTGATTCTAAGCAATCCGAATAAATGCATTTTGAAAATCTGATTTAAAGACATAAAATCTAATTGTGCAATTAGTTAATAATCAACTAATAAACATTTATGCATAACTGACAATGCATCATATGTTTATTCGTTTGTTAAAACAGTGAAATTCAAAATGGATGGAAATTGTATATGCATTTGAAATATTAAATATCTCTCCATCATGGGTGTTCGACAGGCACTGACTTTATGCAGCTAAGCCTTAATAAACTTTAAAACCGGGGTGCAGACCAGCTTTACAGGAAAATGTGAAGGAAGGCCATTTTCTGTTGTTACAAGGAGTATCTTTTCTTTTCCCGCACTGGCTGCAGTGTATTGGTGGAGTATTACATCACCCTAGTGTGGTCTGGCATACTGTAGCCTCTCCGTCAGTAGAGCGGCTACAGGAAATCTGTTTATTATTTCTCTTTATTGTCTTAGTGATAGGAATATATTAACCCTCTTAGTGGGAACCAGCTTCCCTGTTCTGGCATACAGCAGCGTGCACAGGCTACATCTGCTGGACTGCTTGTGCATCTACACTGTGAACATGGATCATTATACACCCATGTCTAGTTTTGTGCTCTTGCCACACTTGCCATATGTTATTACTCGCCATGAGTAATGAAATAGCGGAGTTATTATATCAGTGGTTACAGATAGAAATATTTTGTTAGCTTCACATACACTGCAGTTTAAAAGTTTGGGGTCAGGACGATTTTTCAATATTTTTTTAAAAGAAGTCTGTTATGCTTACCAAAGTGACATTTATTTGATCAAAAATGCAGTAAAAATATTATTTTACAATGATGCCAAAGCTGAATTTTCAGTGTCACATGATCCTTCAGAAATCATTTTAATATGCTGATTTAGTGCCCAAGAAACTTTTCTTATTATCAATGTAGAGTTGTTTTGCTTAAAATTTTTAAGATACTTTTTTCGTCTTGTTTGATGAATAGAAAGCGGAGTAAAAGGGCTATCAAATCGATTAATCGCATGATTCGCATCCAAAATAAATGTCTGTTTACATAATAGTGTGTGTGTGTACTGTGTATATTTATATGTATATATAAATACACGCACATACATTATATATCTTTAAGAAATATATGAATTTATATATATTACAAGTCATATATAAATATAAATATAAAAATATATACACACGTAAATGTTTCTTAAATATATGTGTGCATTTATATATACATATAAATAAACACAGTACACACACATATATTATCTAAACACAGACTTTTATTTTGGATGCGATTAATCGATTTGACAGCCCTAATTAGTAACCTTCCAAATGTCTTTACTGTTAACTTTGATCAAATTAAAAACTAAATAGAAGTATTAAAAAAAACACTTAGGAACACCAACATTTTGAACGGTAGTTTTATTTAATTAGTTAGAAGTTAACAGAATTTGTTTGATGATCTGAAACATTAAAGTGTGACAAACATGCAAAAAAATAAGAAATCAGGAAGGGGGCCAACACTTTTTCACACCACTGTATGTGTTCCCTGACGCATGACCTTTCTGTTGAAAGCACCATGCTTTACCCTAGCAACCACATAGCAATGCCCAGGCGTCATGAAAGCAAGTTCCACAGTCAAGTTCTGGTCGCATTTCATTTAGAAATAGTCTCTGAATTGCGTGGCTGTCACAAAGATTAAGGTTTTTATTCTTGTCGATTGCGTTTGTGGCCAGTAAGATGTATTTGTTTATTTGGTTGAGTCTATATCCTGAATTGCCAGTGTTGTTGCTCTGCTGAGGTGTTGCCTGCGTGTTTCTTTTGCTTCATTAATCATTGAAGATATTATAGCACTTTTGTTTGCTCTCAGACGTGGCAGCTCTAATCTAATTGAAGCAGTAAATCAGTGCTGCACAGTATTAGACTAACCTGGGGGAATAGGCTCTGATTTCTACACCTCTGTTTTTGTTTTCTTGAAGGTGTCACAGAGGAATTTCCACCCTGCTCGCTCTCTTCTCTCTTTGTCTCTCTCGCTTGCTCGTCCTGCTGTACTAACCCCTGAGCCAGGGCTACAGGCTCAGTACAGTAGTGATTAACACGTGACTGTTTCCATTTCTAAAGGGAGCAACCGCCATGGACCGAAGAGAAACGACCTGGATTTAGATTATTATCACAGCTTAACAGGTGACCTTTGACTTTCAAGTTTCTCTCTCACAGATCTCCTTTGGACCTGTCTTTTTTTTTTCTTCTTTCTGTCATCCCCTGCAGATCTCCTTTTCTCAGCTTGTTATCCTTAGATTTGATTAAAACTGTTTCTTGATCAAGTCTTCATACAAACAGAATGATTTCAAGCCAATCACAGGTGCTGTTTCTCTACTCAGCCGGCTATTCTACGTAAACTAATATGTCACTGTACCAAACTAATCCAAACCATGGATCTTTATTTCTACTAATCTGTTTTTCCCCCCTTTACCTCACTCATTATTGTGATGTAGAGTGACTTCACCCTTGAACTTTTCCTCTACAAATTTTTTTTTTTTACGTCACTTGATAATGGTTTAAAGGTCAGACCTGATAAAGCAGAGAGAAGCACAGGAGTACAGTAAGGTGCTCTTGAGAGTGCTCTCTTCATGTGTAGTTGCTTGATGAAGGCAGTGAGCGAGGGCAAAGGGTCATGTTGGCATGGCTCGGCTCAGCAGTTTTTTTGGTGGCTCACTGACCGAGCTGTTTTCCTCCTTTCTTCCTCTCTCCTTCTGCCACAGAACAAACTCTGACTCAGCTCTGCACACCAGCGCCATGAGCCCAAACCCACAGGATCCTTTTGGCAAGAACCAGCAGATGGGCAGAGGACCTCCTCAGCGAAACGGTGAGCTCGGACTCCTCCTCCTCAAACATACTGTAGTTTTAAAAGCCATTGTTATTGCATGGCATAACAGTGTGGTTGAAACAGAAATGCAGGTGGTCAAATGGATTGTACAATGTCAGTCATGGATGACAAATCAATGATTTATACCAGACCCAAATCAAACGGTCCCACCCGTAGTTCAGCGTGTTTGCACGACACAGCTGGGGCTCACTGTCATGTTGTTTGTCTATTCGTCTTGGTTACAAACACAGGCATTTCAGATGGTATGCTGAAAATGACTGACAATCAAAAAAAGGATGTTCCCTCTACCCTTATTTTTCTGATTTCTAGAGCTCTTGAAAACAAATTAATGTACAGCCCCATGAGCTTTTTAGATGCAATAGTCTGGCTCATACTCCCCTAAAATCATACAAAGCCAGAGTTCACAGACACATGCTGCAGTGAAGATGTTTGTTAGACTATAGGATTATGTCATAGGGTGGGATGATCAGTGTTTCATCATTACAACAGTGAAAGTCTGGCGGAAAAAGTTATGGCTGTGCCGATACAATTATGTATTGATCTTTATTTCATGACATTGCATCAGCACTTCAGGTCCTTTTCAATATATTTTGATCTTTATTTCATGACATTGCATCAGCACTTCAGGTCCTTTTCAATATATTTTGCATTCATTAATATAATTTCCTTCAGATTGAGTAAGAAAAAACTGGGTATGGGTGTGCGTTTTGAGGTTTATGATCTGGTTGTGTATTACTGATGTTTGTTACATATAAACCTTGCTTTGCAGATTGTTACATCACATCCCTTTCTAGTATTCCCTTTCACGTGAAAGCTTTACAGGATTTACATGGTCATGACGTGAAGAGTTCATGTAACATTACACAGACTATTACAGTAATCTCATGCCAACACATACACAACCATTCAAAAGTTTGGGGTCAGTAAGATACTTTTCTTTCTTTTTTCTTTCTTTCTTTCTTTCTTTCTTTCTTTCTTTCTTTCTTTTTAGAATAAATTAATACTCTTATTCAGCAAGGATGCATTAAAGGGGTCATGAACTGCCTTTGTTTTTTATTTTGTACTGTTCTCTGAGGTCCACTTATAATGTTATCAAGATTTTTACATCAAAAAACATAATTTAGAAGTAATAGACCATTTTCTGTCCTGTTTTGGCCCCCCTCATCAGACCGCTCTGTTTGAGGCTTGACAGATTGTAGACTCGGAAGTAAATGCCCACTGCTATGATCTGCTAACAGTTGTGTATGTTTGACAGCGTACATCCTACACAGATGGATGCTGCTGTGTTTTAGGTTAAAAACGCATAAATACTCGGTACACATCAAATGAAGTGTAATAACATACAAACCAATAGTGACCACGTAATAAAAACTCACACTTGTGTGTTGCAACATTACTGTCGGATCCAATATAGTCGACACAGCATCGTCTTTTAGTTGAAAATCCTGCGTCAAATTGTGCCTTGTTTGTATACGAATCCACGGTAAAATGAAGTAAAAAAAGGACCAAGTTCTTACTAATGCGGTCTGAAACTTAATTAAAAATAAAGTTCATCCACTCTTTCCTAATGTTGGAATGAAGGAAGGCAATGCAAAGACTGTTTTTCCACAACTTGGCACTGCACAGTGTTTTGTTGTCTTTGGAGCCATCTTCAACGTTTTGACCTGTGTTTGCCTCTCGTTATTTACACTACATGTGTGAATCGGTGGGCGGGGCTAAACAGGCAGCGATGTAGAAGCAGGCGTTTCAAATGAATTAGAAGCATCTTCTTCTGCAGAGGTGGTGTTTAGCCACACTATTTTGTCATGAAGTGGCACATTCCTTAACCTGTTTTGGCATATTGGCTTCAATATAAGCTGATTATAGACTTAACGAGGAAGTTTTGAGTTCTGAAACTCACAGGATTTTTTATAGTGCAATGACCTTTTATATGTCAAAAGATCAAGGGAATTTGGATTTCTCAGTTCATGACCCCTTTAAAACAAATTTTCAATTGGCCAGAGAGGGATTTATCTTTTTTGAATCATTACAATACATGTGCATCTCAATAAATTAGAATGTCGTGGAAAAGTTCATTTATTTCAGTAATTCAACTCAAATTGTGAAACTCGTGTATTAAATAAATTCAATGCACACAGACTGAAGTAGTTTAAGTCTTTGGTTTTTTTATTGGTCTTATGGAGTATTCTAATTTGTTGAGATAGTGAGTTGGTGGGTTTTTGTTAAATGTGAGCCAAAATCATCACAATTAAAAGAACCAAAGACTTAAACTACTTCAGTCTGTGTGCATTGAATTTATTTAATACACGAGTTTCACAATTTGAGTTGAATTACTGAAATAAATGAACTTTTCCACGACATTCTAATTTATTGAGATGCACCTGTATTGTTGTGTGGGACACCGTGAGCTCAGAGACTGCAAGCTAAGCATTTAAAAACTCACACTACATACTAATGGTGTGCTTTGAATGAATAGTGCTCTTAAAGGGCTGTAGAGATAATGTAGTAATCTCACATGAAATGGAGTAGAGGCTTAAACAGTATTTGATATGTCATCACGGATTGCCTAGTCCATTTACATTTTCTTTGTAAATCTGCTGATTTTTTTGTTTTTTTTATAACTTCGAGAGGAGTCAATTATTTTCTCTTAATCAATATATAATAATCTTCTCTTAAGACAATATGTCACAAAAATGTAATTTTTATTGAACCTGTGATGTTCTGTTTATTACTTGCTCTCTCACAAATTGATTTGCAAGCATTTAGGCTTGAGTTTGTGGCTCATCTGCACTGCATATCCAAGATAAAAGCATCTTTGTGTGTTATATCTTTCTGTTTAGTCAGTAGGATTAAATAAGATAGTGAATGAAGATGTGGAGCAACTATGATGGTCACATGTACACCGAGATATGGAGCACTATAACTCAGAGGATGTCTGTGGCCCAGGGCAGTTGTTTTCTCAGATCAATCTGATAAGAAACAGCTTCACTTAAGGACATGGCAGACAGCAGGCATTTAATATCTGTCTGGCAGCTCATCTGAATTATGCACACAGTTGACTGTGTGGAGGTGTGCAGTGAGGCTCATGTAATGTGAACAAGTACAAACCAGCCTCTCACATGGGACAAAAATTTGTTTAGCTTCCGCTATCACAGTGGTCTCATCCCAAACCTGCCAGCCAACTCAACTGTGTGATGCAACTGTGCTATTCATGTGTGGATCTCCCAAAAGCATCGTATCGTAACTGTGTGCCACGTTCAACCGCTTGACTCTGACCCTACTGGGATTTATGATTTGACACCAGCTATAATAAGAACGGCTGTTTTTAGTGCTGTTTTTTTCTGTATATAACGACTGATTTGGTGTAAGATTTTGCTGTTTTTTGGGAGCTTGCTATATGGGTAATTCTAGATAAATTGATTGCAGATAATGTACTTTAACAAACTTTGGTGTTTTTTAAAGGTACTTTTACACTTTAAGATAAAACGTGACAAAACTCTGGACTCAGGCCAACGTTTTTCTGTTCTAGTTGTCTTTTTCCGTCAGTTATGGCGTTGAATGAGACTCTCAGTGAGGGGGAAATGAGGTGTCGCCGTACTTTTTGTTTGATTCATTGTGCGTCGCAGTTGGGCGTCTGAGACCGGCAGCTTTGCTGAAGCGGTGGAGCTGGTTGATCTGGCTCTGGGCCCACACTGTATCGGTTCTGGGCCAACCAGCATCAGCAGAGGAAGCAGAAAGGAGGTTTGTTTTCCACAGGATCTCTGTGGTGCACACAAAACAATGCCTCTCCATTGATTCATTTTGCGCTTGTGGTCACAGATTTCTCCCGATATACATTTTTTTGTCCTCTCCTTTTTTTTCCTCCTCATGGGGTGTTCCTTAAAGAGACAGTGGACACTAAGAAGCCATTTTCAGTTCCCCCCTCTGGAGTTTGTGACCCCAGGCTTCAGTGGGTGGAGTGAGTGTGCACTCTGAATGACTCATTTCAATGAATCAAATGTTTGTACGAAGACTGAACTGAACTCTTAAAGCTTAAAGGGGTCATATGATGTTGCTAAAAAGAACATTATTTTGTGTATTTGGTGTAATGCAATGTGTTTATGCGGTTTAAGGTTCAAAAAACACATTAATTTGTAGTCATGTCCTCTTTTGGAAGACCAAACTAAGTAGTTTCGCTTTCACAACGAAACACACAGAGGCTTGAGTGAACGGCGCCCAGCGGATTCGACAAAGGAGGCTTGCGGCAACCACATGTGACGACCCTGGGCTGGACTCTGCTTCGTCCACGGTGAAAGCTGATCCGGCGATTGACAGTGCGAAGTTTATGTTTTTCCTCAGCAAACAGCACGGATCAGCTCCAGGCATGAGGAAGCGGATATCGTCCTCTTTTGGAAGGCCAAACAAAGTAGTTTCGCTTTCACAATGAAACATAGCGCCTTCACGACATGGCGGCGGCGGCAACAATACTAGCGGGCTGGACTCCGCTTTGTCCACGGTGAAAGCCGATCCGGCGATGCACAGCGCGATGTTGATGTATTTCCTCAGTTACCAGCACGGATCAGCTCCAGGCATGAGGAAGCGGATATCGTCCTCTTTTGGAAGGCCAAACAAAGTAGTTTCGCTTTCACAATGAAACATAGCGCCTTCACGACATGGCGGCGGCGGCAACAATACTACAGCGAGAATAAAAGTTACGCCGCCTTTCTTTGCGTGAACATTTGATAGCGTTATGCAAATCTTCCCACACAGTGACGTAGATATGTGGGGGCGTGTTAGAACGAGCCGTTTTAGGTAGGTGTGGCTGACTCTTAACTTTTATAAAGATTATCTCTTTGGATTTGAGACTTTAGTCTTTGCAACTTTACAGATCTTCTTTATGCACCAAGAGCTTGTAACACTCCAAAGAGAAAGGAAAAATTGAAATCGCATCATATGACCCCTTTAAGACATGTTCAAAGGTTTGTTGTCAGATAGCGTTATTTGTTTGTTTGAAAGAAATCAATTCTTTTATTGAAAAATTTTTAATAAAATGCTTTTATAAAAAAGTGATAGTAAATAGATTTATAATTTTAAAAAAGAATCCTGAAAAAAATATATTGTTTCCACAAAAATATTAAGCAGCACCACTGTTTGCAGCATTGATAATAATGAGAAATGTTTCTGGAGCAGCAAATCAGCATATTAGAATGATTTCTGAAGGATCATGTGACACTGAGGACTAGAGTAAGGGCTGCTGAAAATTTAGCTTTGCCATCACAAGAATAAATTATTTTAAAATATATATAAAAATGTGTTTTATTTTAAATGTAATTGTTTAATATTTCATAATATTCATTTCAAAATGCTTGATGAGCATGAGACTTTAAAAAATAAAAGCTTTAAAACATTTTGTAAACCCCAAACTTTTCAGAAGTTTCTAGTTACTTTTGGCACTTTTCCACTGCATGGTACGGCTCGGTACAGTTCACTTTT